ATTCGGAAAAGTGTTTCACTCAAATTTATAGAGCTTTGTATGGTGTCGCCATGTTTGTGTCCCTCGGAGGCACACAAACATGGCGGCCGTAAAGTAACAGAAACATCTGTCATTGAGTTTTGCTATTGAAACGAAACGTTATTACTCTAGAGCTCCGATACATTGAAATTAATACTTTTCTGGATCAAGAACTGTTTAGTTAGTAAAAACTTGAGCAATAGCTCATCTTTTGACTCACTCGACAGCCTTATCGAGCCGCCATTTTAATGTCACGCAACACATAAACTTGGAAATTCCGACGTGCTCCATTACATAATGAGGAACCCTGCCGGGCTTAAACGTTGCAAAACGTCAAGTTATTAGAGGGTCTTACATTTGATGAAACTAAAACTTCACAAGGATTGGTAATTTCTTATTCTGGAAATTGATGACGTCACATGAAAACCGGCAATACAAGCGTACCTTTCTTAGTCACAGCGATAATAGCAGGTTTTTTTAATGTGTCTGATACACTCGAGCTCTCAGCCTGTACCGCTTGTTCCTCATGATCAACCTTTAAAGAAAAGGCAATTTGTTGACAACTGCGTCCGGGAGGAGCCGCGTTAGACGAGGGTGTAAGCCCGAGAAAAGGACGCTTTGAGCCCTCGTTAAAAGTTAACCGAAGCATTAATCTTTATCGTACTTTACCTCTATTTGCACTGCTTATGTTTTGCGTTTGTGATCATTTAAACTTAAAACAGAAGGGCCAAAAGTGTAAACAGAAAACCTCACGGGAAAGTTACAAAACTCAAATCACAGTAGCCCATTTCCGATATGCCTATTGCCTTTATGTCAAAACGAGTCCATATTTCATGTGAAAATGTGTTTTCCCAACAAGTTTATTTTCATATAAATCAAACTCATTTTCATATAAGTTTGATTTGCACGAGAACTCGTTTTGAAACAGAGCCACAAGGTAACTCAGAAATTTTTAATACGAAAGTGGTCGCTTACAAGTCACTAGAAAAGAACTGGAAACTAGCTTTAAAAAAAATTGCTACCACGTTTTCGACCCTGAGTTCGATACTTCTGAACGTTTAGTCTCGGAAAAGTGTCTTAAAGGTGACTCGATACCGTTACAGTTAAATGAAAATACAGCAAC